CGGTCCTTGGAGAGGGACATCATGCTTGGGAGGGTGGAGGGACAGTGCAGGAGAGGAAGGCCCTCTATGAGGTGGATTGATTCAGTGACTCGGATAATTGGGATGGGAGTGTCAGAGACGGTACGATTGGCACAGGACAGAGCGGAGTTTAGGGCTGTTGTACATAGGGTCGCTATGAGTCACAAGCGACTCGACGGCACATAATAGCAACAACAACAACAGAAATGAGTACAGTCTAGGCTTGTCTCCTTGCCTCCAGCCACTAGATTCTGCTGATTTTTCCCCCTCTGCATATCTTTTTTTCTAGTCCTCTACTACTATTATCTTGGCCTACATATCTTCACATCCAATCTATTGTGAACGTTTTCTGGCTATTCTTTCTTTGCCTCTCATGACTCCTCACCAAGTCCAATTTGAAAAACTTCACTACCAAAACACTCACTGGTTTTATAGACTGTTGGAAATGCATGTGTGTTTAGGACAGGTCTTTTTTTTTAAAAAAAAAAATAGACTAGAGACTAACATGAAAGCTTAAACTCTCATGGTTTATTTTGTTAGAAAACGTTTTCTGTGTCTACTTAACTGAATTTTCAGTTCCTAGGTTGTAAGATCCCTGTCAGTATGTATCTGAAACCCATGGCACGTAGTACCAGAGTCTTCTGTAGAAACAATCACTAAATATTTGTCAGTGAATTGAATGATTCATTTTAGGTAGATGCCTGAATTGAATACCTTTGAACTGATGTCAAAATAGAAGAGATCCACAGGTCTGTAAGATGCTCAAATTTTACAGTTTTTAAGGTGTCTAATGAGTAAAAGATTTTTCGTTTTTCTGGATCATTTTCCAGATGATACTTGACAGAAATACCACCCTGTGATATGTACTGTTCTCAAAGATTCAGTCTCTTTTTCTTCATGGCACTGGCTCCTTCAGCACCCTAATCTCCAGTCCCTTGCCCAGCATTTCCCAACCAAGTACAGTGATTTTAATAAACCTAAGTGAGCACCAGCATAGCTGATTCTAAGGTTTCAAATGTGTTGAAGAACAGAAAAATATGAGGAACATTGGCTATGTAAATTGTTTTTTATTTTATTTTATTTTTTTAAGCTCAATTTATTGCCCATCACTGGAAACTCCAATTGGAAAAAAGTAAGCATGAATAAACAATTCTTAGAGAATGTTTGTTAATCTCTTGAGGGGTAGGATTATTGTTGTTGTGTTCCATAGAGTCAGAACTGACTCAAAGTTGACCCCCACCCCAGCAGGTTTTCAGAAGCAGTTAATCCAATAGGAGATTGCACATCATTCTTCTGTGCAGCAGCTAGTGGCATCAAACCATGTGCCTTCAGGATTTTAGCACAGCTTCTTGACATAGGCGGAGGATAGGAAAGAGAAATTGCATCTCTCGGATATATAAGGCCGTCAAAGCCAGATCTTCCTCTGAATAGACATTTCAGTCCAAATCCTAGCCTGGATCTGGAAGTGACTGGAAATACTAGTTTCTCTCCTTCAACTTGAGATATATATAGACATTTTATATATA